CAGCAGCTAGTAGGTAGTCTGCAGAGCTTCCACAAGGGCAAGTAGAACAATCACAAATAGCAGAGTTTTGCTGCATAAATAGCCTTTAGTCAAAAGACCTAATGTCCAAAATGCATAAACTACTGTTATTCACTGAGCTGTTCTACAACAAGACAGAAAATGTTCAGATTTACATAGTTTAGGTGGTGTCGTGAACACAGTGAGCACGGAGGCTCTTGAAACGTTTATATGTAAACAAGTTGAATATAAAATAAGAAAACGACTGCAAGTTAGTGCTTGTAAGAAATACCTTCTGCCTTCATCTACCCATGAAAAAAGTAAAAGTAACTTTGGGTTAACTGAGGTCAAGTAAGCACATGACTTATGCACTTCAAAGTAATGAAACGAAACTCTTTAGAAGTGAAATGCAGAAAAGCCTTTAAAGAGACTTTAACACAAGATAAATGTGAAGAAATAGCCGTTTTATAAAGCTGAACAGAATGAGTCTTTCTTCAGTGTCTATGCTACATATTGCTGGGATGTTTAGAGCATGTTTCACCAATCATAACCTACACCTCCAGGGGGAAGGATGAAATTCAGTGTCAGCAATAACACAAAGAACCTTGGTTTAACATTTCGCCCAAGCCATGTCCCCACTTACAGCCTAAAGCTTGCACTTGCTATTCTGGCAAGCTGCTTTAGTTCACAGACTGACAATCTCTCCTCCGGCAGTGCTTGACCATCTGAGACGCAAGCTCACTAGCGCGCACACACACACACACACGCACACGCACGCACGCACACACACACACACACACACACACACACACACACACACACACACACACACACACAACACACACACACGCACACGCACGCACGCACACACACACACACACACACACACACACACACACACACACACACACACACACACTCCCTTTCACAAGGGCTTATATTCATTCCTGCTTTAATTGCTAGTTGTTGTGGTGATTTTACTGATATTTGTCAACATAATTTTTCAGCTTTAATATTACAGTTAATGGAGACAAAAAAGAAATTACATTTAGATCAGATCAAACATTCTTAGCATTACAAGATACTGCACAGAACATCACTCATTTCAAAATGAATTCAGCTATACTCAAAGTAAGCGCTGTCAAACACACATGCAAACATTTGCTTTGTCTCTTTTTGCAGCTCGCCAGTCCAGCAAATCTGCACATATAAACACCCACACATTTCTCCCTTTTTTTCCACAGCTCTTCACAAGCAAACTGTTCGAGCCTCTTGCCTGCCAGCCAGTCAAGATGGCCCCCCAACCCTGCAGCCAATCCCACGGTCTGGCACGCAGAAGAAAACCGCAGGCCAGCTGATCCTCTCCCTGGCTACCTTCATCTGCTCCTTTGGAAACCTTTGGACATGCATGAAGTTTTGAGAGCTTCATGGTCTACTGGGCCGGAGCATTTCGGGAAAGAAGGAATGGGTAGAAAGTCATATTCAGGCCTCAGAAATCTGTTACTTGATAACCCTGCTACAACTGATCAGTGCTTGTACAAAAGGCAGAAGCTATGGCTTGAAATGAGGGAAAAGGCCATGGTTAAGTAGCGTTTGGCAGCTAGCGCCTGTTTTATTGTCTGTCGCATGCCGCAGTTGGAGATTTCACGCAATTTAGCCCCAGTCGGCATTGCGAACGTGGCCCTAAGTTTCTTATTAGCAAATCATTTTTGACTTTTATTTCAGATTTTTTTGTGAAGATTCACATTAACTGTCCCAGAAAGTGCTTATCTCGACTCATCCCTCTACCTCATTTGCAGCCTTGCTACCTCACGGCCATCACGCTAATGACTGAAACCTCCAACCTCCCCTAGAAAGAGGAATAACTGGCTATGTGCAAATAGATTATGATGAACTGCTTGAACTGCAATTAAGGCAGAAGGAAGGGAAGGAGACGACAGCAGTTTAGACAACAATTTGGGTGACTGCAGCTGCAGCTGCTCTGTGGTTTAATGCAGTAATTGATAGACTCTGTCTGTCACTAGAGGGATCAGAATGAAAACTTAAATTACCATCATTAGGGTTCTCCTAATTGCTGCATTACACGCAAAGCCTGTTTTTGTTTGTTATTATAAAATGACTCTTCTGTTATCTAATTTGTTCGGGCAGATCTTCCCTTCCTTTGATACGGAAACAAATTAGAATTTGGATTTGGCGCTCAATGGTAAATCCAGACAGGGGCCACTTTCCGAATCGTGGTCATAATATGAACATAATCACAGCTAAGCATTATTTCATTAAACAGGTGCAGTGATTATGCATCTTAAAGTGTTTGTTTGCAAATTTGAATCAATCAGATGGATCCATTGAGAGCATCTTGATCTATTTACTGATTATACGATTGCAAACTGGCATACTCATCAATTTATTCTCACGTGCAATGAAACATCTCATTATTCTAGCATTGTTACGATACATTGAATGTTGTGGGTATGATTGGATTTCTAGCACTGTATATAAATCCATTCATTCAAGGACATGTTAGTGTGATTTCTATGTGTGTGTGTGGCCAGTGTTTCTCATTGCCCCCAGCTCTTTCTCATTAAGAGGTAAAATATAAAGTACAAAGGTAAAAAAAAAAAAAAAAAACGCTGAGACTAAACGGCAGTATGTGACGAATAGGGGTGAGACCGTGTTGACCAGCGACATTCAGAGATCAGTGCCAATAATCAAGTATTAATGATTATTAAATGCGCATATGCTGGAGTTGGGTAATTGGAAGGTTAATCGACGGGCAACGTCAGTGGAGTCACATTTATCAGATTCTATTTGTCTCTTCTGGGGAGGTGGCAGGTTTACAGTAAATACCTTCTGTCCCCACTTACTAAGACTGACAAGGTCTCTGGGTGCTGGGAAGATCTTTTCCCTCGTACTGAATCACCATTCCCCATGAACCAACACACACCAGCCTCACCGAATCATCCAGATGAAAAACTGGAGAGCAACACAGAAGGATAAATTGTATTGTGCCTCTAAGCGAAACTGTACATGTACACCCACCAGCGCAACACGGTCTCACCCCTATTCGTCACATACTGCCGTTTGGTAATCGAGGCCCACAATGAGAAGTGATGGGACCCAGCTACTCAAAAACCCACCCAATGGATAATCATCCACATAAAGCTATATAGCTCTGAAATACAAAGACTAGTCGCTTGATGAAGACTGGGTGATAAACTTCACTCTTTTGACATTTATCTTCTGTAATTATACAAAAGTTAGTCCGTTCCTTTAATTGAATTGATTGAGCTGTGTTCCAAGAGAGCTTATGTTTAGTCCAACAGCACTGGGACTTTTCATCATTTGTATCATTCCAGACAGAGTCCAGACAGAGTGTCACTCTGTGCATTAGTGGTGAGGATTTTTCAGTGACTGTTTCTGCAGGCTACATCAATACACAAGTAGGTGGTGATGGGTTTTTTATAAATGAGGCATTAATTAATTCACTCACCATCCAAAATCGCATGCTTCCTTACTATATAGTAGGTGCAAAAAAGAGTATGTCTGAATTCACAGTGTTCAATAAATATTAGGCAAAAAGAGAATATGCAATTTCAGATACAGCCTCTCTATGAGCGAGTCTTTGAATCATTCATTCAACTGATTTGTTCAAAAACACAGATTCATTCAGGAACAAAATAGCACTATGTTGTGCCCAGACACAACCAAACTTTGTTTAGAATTATAATTTGCTGCTTAATCTAGATAGGGCTATAATATGAATATAATCACAGCATTATTTCATTAAACAGGTGTGGTAATTATGCATGTTGGACTGTTTATTTGCAAATCAGCATCAGTCAAAATTGAACTATTTACGCTGTCAGAGTAAAATTAACAAAATATGTTTCTATAATGTACGTTGCTCAATGTGAACTTCAGATTTAACATAAAAAATATTAACATTAAACTCAAGTATCACAATCATGCTGTTGGCAAGAGCACTATACAGCTGTATATCTCCCTTTCAGTCCGCCCCCCC